AGTCAGACGAAAGAAGAGGGCAAGGGATAATATGACCAACCCTCTGGAGTTTTGGAAGACCGTATTGTTCTCACACGAATCAAGATTTGCTAAATTTTCGGACAGTGGGAGGATATGGGTCTGGAGAATGCCTCACCAAGAGTTTTGGCTCAACAGAATGCAGCCAACTGTGAAGCATGGTGGTTTGGGGAGCTGTTTGGGTTGGTGGGAGATCGAGCTTAGTGGAGTGCGTTGGTAACATAAATTTTGCGAAATACATCGAAATATTGGAGGAAGGACTCTTGCCACTTTATTACTCGGGTTTCGTGGACAATAACACAACGTTGTTCCAGGAAGATGGAGCACCGTGTCACACTGCTAGAAACACCCAAAAGTGGCAGGAAGAAAATGGTATCAGAAGTTGCCCTGGCCGAGTCAATCTCCTGACATGAACACCATCAAAAACCTCTGGGCCATACTCAATCGGCAAGTCAAGAAACAACCAAAAAACCAACTTCGAAGAGCGATCTACTCCAAGTTTTGAAGCAAGAGCGGGCGAAAATCCCACAATCTAAAATTGACGAGATGATTCTCACGATGCCCCAAATGATCAACGAACTCCACGAAGCGAAAGGAAGATCTAATAGATATTAATTAAATTATAAATATATCAATTCATGTGAATATGACTGAAAAATTTCATTTCCTCTGAAAAGGTGGTGTTTATTTACTTGTGACCACGCTGTGTACTTTGTTTATAAGCCTCATAAAAAAAAAAAAATTAGTGGATTATTAGTAAAGACATAAATATCCTTTATATTATGGAATTTCACACAATCTCGATTTAGAAACTTTATGCAATATGTTCAGTATCTTATGTACTATTTGTGTATATAACCTCTTAGTCAAGAACTATGCAAATTTATTTTGCATCTATTAACACACTGTGAAAAAAGAACTCATAATACAAAATGTGGTAACTCATTTTAGTGGCATTAAGAGCATACATTTCCCCTCAATACTTACAACTAATCTCTGATTTTTGTCATAGGTTTTTTATTGTTAGGAAATACTTTATTGTTATTTAATAATTAGTATTATGCTTTACAAACTGCAGAAATGACTGTACCTCTATTATATTTAAAAATATATTAATATGGTAAGCAGAGCAGTAAATGACAGATTTCAATTTCTATGGTTTACAGTTTTTGAATTGCATTTCAGAGGTAAGTCGGAGAAATTAAGCAGTTACCCTGTAACTACCTAAAAATATTTAATGTTCTTTTAATTGGCTAACACAAAATGCTCAATACCCAGAACAGTTCTCTTTTCACCCTAATCACTTTATAAAATTCTTAGAGACAAGTCTGTATTCTAGTTTGTTGGGCCTGCAAGAACAGAACAATTTGGAATCCACAGAGATCACATCTTTTCAATGTACTAAAAAATTTCAAATGGATGGATGCTTTAACTTGCAGTTGTTGAGAATTTATAATAATATTTATGAAGACTTTAACCATCACTACAGATATTAAAATTAATAATCTAAATTAACTACTTATTTTACAATCATCCCTGTGATGGCTCAGATGCAAGCCTCAGAGCTTATAATGCCAAAAATCAAGGTTTTGATACCCATTGTCTAGCTTTGTGTTTAACAACAAACAATTTTACAATCGAAAGAACTTCATGTTCTTCAAACAAAATTTGCTATAATTTAGTTTTAACTTTAAAAAATTAAGTGATCCTCTCTCAAACATTAAAATAACAGTAAAACTTTATAATAACTGAAGAAATCCAGAGATGAATTCACTGATAATAAAGGTGTCAGTTGGGACAACACAATCTGTCAGGGATATGATTGGTATCATCATACCTTCAGTCCACCATATTGTGACCATTCACATAAATGGCCTCTGAGCCAGCTGTGCTTATTAATTTATGGAAACTATTTGTACATGTTGATGAGGAAAACATTATGAACCCATCAGTACATGTAATCAGGCATGCCTGGTATAAATTCAAGTGTTGGTCACCCAAATATTTTTTTTTTTTTTTTCAGATAGTGATAAAACAGTTGCTGTTACTGTACAAAGTTGTCAGATTTAATTGTAATTCTTGTGAATGTTGAGTTTCAGATGGCTATGAGGGTGCTGTAATAAGATGCATGCAATTACATATGTATGTCATTTCTGGATGTACACAACAACATGGTGGCAATCATATCTCTGAAATGTTTAAAAATGAAATAGAGAAATTAATTACATATTATTGAACCTTTCAAGGTTCAATATGCAGTTTGTCTAATCAAAAACTTAAAAGGAATTATGACAAACTGTATAACAAGCTTTACTAATCAAGAATTTATCTAGTAATTCATAAAACTGCTAAAAATGCACAACTCAAAGCGCTATAAAATGCACTTTGTGCTTTATACACTTTCACTATTGACTTTGATATTTTATACAAATGTACTTTATAAAAAGTTGACTAAAGTACCTTTTGAAGTAAAAATTATAAGTAAAATCTTTACTAATAACTTTTTATTTGAAATTTTAATCTTTGTTCATCACTGGAAACCCAAGAAATAATTATAATAAGATTCAGTGTCTGTATGTGTCACGTAACTCCTCCTAAACCACTGGTTACACTGACTTCTAAGTGGTACCAAATGAATTGTCTTGGTCTCCATGTCTGCACAAAGTTCAAAGTTAAAATTTTTCATCCTATCCCTCTGGAGAACCCAAGGATTTCCTGAAACCCCCTTTTCTTACACTGCTGGACTCATCAACTTCTAAGTGGTGCCAAACAAACCATCTCAGCCCCAAGGTTTGCACAAAGATAAAACTTTTCATCCAACCCCTTAGGGAACCCGGGTATTTCATGAAAACACTCTTACGGGGATTTCCCTGAATGTGAACCCAAAATTTGGCATTGATTTACATCAGAGCATGTAAATAAGTAGGCCTACTAATTACCATTTGTAACGTGGTTAAAGAAATTAAATTTGCATTATAATAGCAGTGATCATTAAACTGAAAATGTACAATATAGTACTTCAAGCACTAAATTTGTATCATGGTGGCCTATAGATCCACAAATTCACTAGTTGTAAATATCTTTTGATATCAATCATTATAAAAATAATGATACTAGAAAGCCTATAATTAAATTTCTTGTATTCACATTTGTTCGTATCATTTATTTCATCTTTAAAAACCCTTAAAATAATCTGTACTTTTACTTCTATTACCTTAGAAGAGTATCCTAAATTCATAATTTTAACTATTTCTTTGAAACCTTAAATCAATAAACAGGGAAATAAAAAAAAAGAATGCCCCCCCCATACAAAAGATAGATTTGTTCATTTTTGTAAAATTAGGATGTTTTCATCCTAATGTAGTGACCAAGCAGTATAATGCACTTTTCCTACAGTTTGGCCAGTACCTACATTATTTCGTAGAAAAAAAAAAGTTTATTATTCTTATGAAGTAAAGAAAATTTTTTCTTCACAATAGATAAATACGAATGTCTAAACTTAAAGTTAATGTTTATTTTATTCTCAGTTACAAGTATACACATGCCTAACATACCACATCATCAATATAAGCCTGTCGACGGTCATCGGAGATGACTTTTGACCACCTTCTACAGATACACTGACAGGAAAATCAAACACACAATATCTGCAATCAGATTTGTAGTTCTGAAGTTTCTCTATGAAGTTTTCATAAGTAGATGGTCTAGGCCCTTTGTGTTCTACATCAATTACTCTTTCATCTTTGATGTGATAAATGATGTATCTGTATTTCTTGTCCTTCTTCACCTCATCATAAGCTGTTTTAGCTTCACTAGCTACTGACACTCCGGAGGACTAAGGAATAGTAAAAACATTCTTGTTAAGATATTTTAAACATGTCTTATATTAGTACAAAGACATTTGCATTACACAAACTTCTGATAAGTACACTTTCAAAAATGTATGTAACTGAGCTAGTAGACTGTCATATAACTACATTATGACCTGATAAAAAGAAAAAAGTTAAAATTTACTGTTTGACACTGTTGGAAAATGTATGGCCTTCCTTATGCAAAGTCTAAGTAAATGTTGTGTATGTTACATTACTTACAAGTGGAATGTCAGGATGTTATAGTGTGTAAATTGTAATAAATATAGTTGAGAAAATAAATAAAAATGTTCTCAACATAAAAAATGTAAATGATATAGCACTTGCAATAACTATTATTTCAACAAGCTTCCAAACATAAATTATCATATAGTCTGTGAAATTGTTAAATGGTAGGTGCATTAGTGAAATTGTAATAGTAACTGTCAGTAATCATCAAGATACTGTGTTTTTTTTAGCAATTGTTTTAATGATTTCAAAAATATTAAAATGAGAAAAAGCTTTATACACTTTTAGTAGGTCTCGTACAGTTACATCTTGAAATCATACCTTTGATTACTATTCGTAACCAAAAAATAAATCTTGCAATAATGTGCACTTCGAGATATTCTGGATTAAGGGAAGTGTCTTTAGTCTCCTTCTCTATACAAGCACTTGATAAAGTGGGCAGTTATCTTTGTATACCTGTACGGTATACCACTAAATTCTAAACATCCAAGAAGGATGACCAATATTCAAACACTTGCAATATTTTTTGGATTGGCTCCAAACCATATTCTGTAATAAGCGTTTTCACAGATTCATAGTGCAATCTTATTACTCTGGTGAATTCTCATTGTAAACACTGTAGGATACATAAGCTGATAAATTCTACATTGTGTTTTGTGAGAATGAGTTTAGTTGGATTATTTCTGTGGGCATGTTTTGTTGCTCTCACATAAACAGTCTAGTGACACAAGTGGTGATTTGTTGCTTTATTTATTTCAGTGGATTTCTACTTCAGTTGTTGACAGTAAAATAAACACAGAAAATAAATGTGAAATGTTTAGCAGTTCAAACTCTGAAGAGAAGTAATATGATACTTTGTGACCAGTAATAAAGAAAAGAGGACACAGCTAATCCACCCCCTGAGACTTAATGTTGACAACACTCCATGTTATGACAACTCGCAAATACCCATGTCCGGCATACACCAAGCAAAATGGGGAGGGGGCTTAAAATTCAGAAATTTAGTACATTCAATATGGAATCCAGCCTTGCATGGCTCATTTTTGATATTAACGGCACCTTGCTATAAAGGACATTTGGAAAGGTGCCCTTAATGTCGAGGTTCTACTATACTGTGTTCAGTCTTTGGCTCCTCACCTTAGGAAGGACATTGAACTGTTAGAAATGGTTCAGAGGAGGCTTACTAAGATGATATCTGGAATATAAAAGGTTATCATAGGAAGACAAGTTAAGATTTTTGAAATTGTTTTCTCTTGAAAAAAGATGAGTCAGAACAAATATGATTGAAGTATTTAAGATTGTTAAAGGAATTGATGCATCATCTGTTTTTCATATTTAATGGTGAGAATGGTAGAACTAGGGCCACAAATATAAATTTTGGAAAGATAGAAGTAATCTTTAGCTAAGACAGTTTTAATTTCCTAACAAAGTGATTGGACTTTGGAATAGTTTGCCTTCAGGTGTGTTGATACAATAGATTTAAAGTCGTTTAAGTGAAGGCTTGATAAATATTTGAATGATAAAGGCTGGCTTTTAATGATTTATTCTAAAGTCTAACTTAGTGAATGGGATGGTCTAGACTCTAGATGGACCAACAGGTCCCATGTTGTCCTTAAATAATATATGTTATTGATGAAAATAAATATTACTTTATGACATTTATTAGAAATCAGAAAAATATAAGTACTAAATACAAGTGCTTAGTGATATTATTATTAGGTTTAGGTTAATACAAATTCTATAAGCTTATTTCTTCAGATCGTGTTTATGATTTTATACGAACATAAACTATATTGACGTATTTTAGGATGTGGTGTAGAACAGAACATGCACAATTACATCCTAGCAATCAAGCACATGGATACTTTAGATGTCTTCACTGTACAAAGAAACAATAAACTTAACAGAAGATGTCATTTCACTTGTTAGAGGTAGAGAACAATAAGATTATCATGGGTATAACAACAGTTATTATTTTGGACACAACAATATTTCAGTGCATAGTGAATGAAAAAAAATTATTGTTTTGAATCAGAAAAATGCTAATTCAATGCTTATTTTCATGAGTCATTACACAACGTAAGCTGAACAAACTTGAATTAATTAAAAGTAAACATGAAAAATCATAATGGCAATATTTTGATTACTTGGATAGTTGGAATAATCGTAGACATTCATGACATTAATTGACCTTATCATAATTTCTATTAATCAGTATCTATATGACACTAATCAATGCTTAAACTTAATCAATTAAATCACCAAACTCTACTTATATTTCCTACTACAATACTTCCAGCTACATAACTAGAAGCTTAGTTTCCATTATTTATTTCTTCTTAAGAGTCACAGTGTAATATTTTACAAACAGATAAGGACATTTACTGTTTTAAAGAATTATGTTGATACATCTCTCTGAGAACCTAACACACCAAGAGCAATATGCCAATAGTTACAATGACTACATGAAGGTGTTGTAAGCTATAATCTTATTTTTTACATATATGTAATAATAAGTATTTATCATCATTGCAACATATTTATGTATTTTAGCCATTTTCACACACCAAATAATAATTTTAACAATTTCACATACAGCAGTGTCAATCAACTTTACACTAAACAAAGCAGAATAAAAAATGATTATTAGCTAATGAAATTAAAGAGTATCGCCTGTTATGTTTTAAACAGTTACAGAAGTTGAGGAAAGCAAAATAAATACTAACCAAATTAGAGAACAAGACATCCTATCATCCACTGGTGGGTTGGCAGAAAGTGTAAGAGCTTACAAAGCTAAAATACTAGGTTTGATTTCTCACAGTAGACAGTGCAAAGATGCCCCAGTGTTTAATTTTGCACTAAACAGACACTTGTATTTTAAACAATGTTATTCTTACCAATATTAGTAAAGTGTACAGTAGCAGAATATCTTAATAATTGTTAAAGTAATCAATATAATTTGTTTTAACATTTCAACATGCAATCTCTGACTCAAAGGCAAAAAATATGACTATTTTGGTAGGTTGTAGGGTATCCCATCAAATGCAGAAACATAGAAACTTAAAAGTGAGGTACATTGCTCTTTACTGAATTATTCAAGGATCATTTTGCCATGCAGTTTTCTTTGATCCAAGTAATCATTAAGTCTACCAAAGTGGACCATCCTCACACTTTGGTTATGCTATTTTGTCATTATTTTAGTACTCATTTCTCTCCTTACCCTTGTAATATTCTTGGACTTCACTCAGAAAATCCTTCGTTAGCTTCATTCCTTACTTAATTTTGAATTGTTCTCCTTGGGATCGTGGAGGTTCACACTACAACAAGTTGTCTTCAATCTCTTTTCCATTTGAGGGCAAGGCATCAGATACATCCATAATTTTATCACTCCTATATGCAAATAATTCTCTTTTGGCACTTGACAGCACCTCCTCCACTGATGCTTCTCTGACCTTTCTTACGGCTAACTCTGTGAGTAACTGGTATGCCATCATGATTGCACCACACCTGCTACTGGATATTTTTCTACCTTACATTTGCAGGTTAGCTTAGAAACTGGCCTCATTTCCATCTCAACAAGAAGAGACACTTGGAGATTTTGGCTTGTTATTTCAGCAATTATTCACAAGTTCCAAAAAAGGTTCAAGAATGACAAGTGTTCTTATATAATGTACTAAAACAATGCCATGACCATTGTGTGATAAAACCCTATTATAACTTCTTCAGATATTATCCAGTTATACACCTATGAATTCCTCACCAAATGATGCATTATTCTGTATATTTTAAAAAAATTACTAAATGCAGTATATAATTCCTACAAAGCACCATACCATTTCTGCTTCCATTGAGTCAGAGATTGCTTGTTGAACATGATATTAGTGAATGCAGAATAAACATTAAAAAAGTGAAATAATGTATTACGCTGACATACTAGGTATTTTATACCTCTTTATTTGACTCTAGAGTTCACCTAAATATTTTCAAAATTTTAATACATACAAGTGTAGGTAGTTTTAGAAGTATATCATTAGTTGAGGAAGTGGCAAAGTCCCTTTTGCCCAAGATATCTATTGTTCTGAATCATTCATTCATTGTATCACATTCATCTTGTTGTGGGAAAGTCTGCTAGTAAAAGTGGACAGTAATAATTTCCACTTTCAAGTCGGGTAATACAATGAGGATAAATCCTTTATTGCTTATAGACTGGTTATGACAAACAGTAATGTGTGTGTTGCACATACATGAAAATAATAGTATTATGGAACTATATTTTCTCAGTCTGTAAAAAGTATTTCTGAAAGTTCTTAACCTTTAAGTAAATGTGCTTCTTTCATTTAACACTCATCAATTCGCTGTTATATGTACATGGAATAAAAATTGTTTTCACACTGTTTTTCCATCGTTTCCAGCTTCTTTCTTACAATTGGGTTTAACTCCGCAATCCATTTTTTGCCTTTACTTCTTATCTTGCGGATTCTACTCGATAAGCTAATAACGAGTACGTGAAGAGAAATCGGTGCACGAAAATACCACAACAGCGTATATCTTTGTGTTTTATAAACGGCGTTAGTGAAAAAGCAGGAAAGCTGAATAAACGTAGATAAGTCAAACAAAGTTAAACACGATGCTGTAAATGAAGAACTTTCCTTTTTTAAAAATTTTTTTTATGAGAGTTATTCTAAACTTTTCCCGTAAAAAAGTAAATAACTAAAATTACATAGAGCACTGTTCTTATCCTCTTTTCTTTTTATAAATTATCACGTTACCAACAAATTATGAGAAGAAAATGCTATTTTTGACAAGAATTCCACGTGATTACGTCATCTTAGAATATACAAGTTTAAAATATTTTTACTTTCAAATATGTTAGTGGCGTCATCACATTTAATTAAAGTCTCAACTTTCGATGTTGCAAAAGAACTCGTACGAATTTTTTTAACAAGAAAAAATGGTATTTTTGAACTCAAACATTAACTTTGTACCTTTTAATTTTCTAAGAATTAATAAGGATATATATAGTTATTCGTATATAACATTTTGCTAAGCACTTTTTATATTATCCAAATATTCTTCTAAAATTCCTGCAACATCCATACATAAAAAAATAAGTTATTGAGTTACGACCTACGTTGCTTCGTATGTTAAAAAAAATTAATAACTACAGCTTTAAATTGATATGTAGAAATATATAAAAAATACATATAGATAACATAAACAGTTTGATGAACATTTGAAGACAAGATAAGTTTGGAATACAGTATCAATTGCTTACCATTTTAATGAAGTAGGTTCTTACAAAAACAAATTGCTTCAAACAAAACTGTCTTCCCTTCGGTTTTCGCTGTCCCGTCCTAGGGTAACACTTTACCCGCCAACACATATTACTACGCACGACTTTCATAGCGCATTACCTGTCGAATACTGTAATTGGGTAATGACAAATGACGTCATAATTATTACTATTTCCACCAAACAAACTTCATGCTTTTTAGATAACTTGGGTAATTTCATTTACCATATCTATAACTGCTTTATTAAATATTCCGGAAAAAAGAAACAAAATTTGTAATTAATAGTACTTAAAGGTAGAATGAAAAATATTTTTTTACGGTTTAAATTATACCTCGGCCACGTTCTCTACAAACAGGCGAAGGATGAGTCGAAGACTGTAACACGTTAGTATTGTCACGTGAGTTGTGAGGTTACACTGACTCAATCTTCTTCGTGTGCCTTAGTTATTGCCATTTAAGGGGGGTAAGAGAAGACGGTTCCTCGAGGTAGTTTTAGTGCGCATTTCTTTTGGTAAATAAGACATAATATTCAATAGCTATGTAGTATTTAAATAAAATTAGATATACAGCTAATGAATATAGAAGAATAAAAAATATTTTTCTTGTTAATTCATTTTGTTATGAAAAAAATCATTGGTAAATAAACAAAAAAAACTGGTAAAAAAGGTAATATTTTTTGGCCTGCTTCAAAATAAAAGCAATTTAAATAAAATTGTCATTAATATATAAGCATAAGTTTGTGACAATGATAACTGTAACAGTTTCAGCATAAGATGAATCAATAGAAATTTATAAAAAAAAACTTAAAATTTTAATCTCTGAAATACTATATTAAATTCGTAGTTATAAACACAACGAACAACAGATGATAAGAAAACTGAATAAAATGCGCATTAAAGTCGATATTACCCGCACACAATCATTTAGATTATGTATCATGATTTATTATAAAGAATATAGTTATAATGCATATGACTGGGTATGAGTAATATCGATCTGATATTACTCATGTATTACGCATGTATACTATATTTCATTTATTCTTTTATTTGACAATTCATTTAAACATTTCCTATAATGGAAATACTTAAGTGCTTTCTCTTTGATTAATAGTTCTAAATTACAGAGCTAACAACATTCGCGCACGTTGGCATATTCTTATGCTCACACACATGAGTGTTTTGATCAAATTAGCAGCTTTCCATAACACATTGTGTTTTTTTTAAGTCGCTGGCTCCATGTAAAATTCAGTATCACATTTATTCAGGAAATATACCAGATTACATCATTTTGTTTCGTTGAACAAAAATTTTTTTGTGGGTACCTTTAGCGGGACCTCACTACGAGGTGCCGCCTTTGATGCTTGAAGCACTTTACCGCGCGTTAGTTCGTATCACCCTCAATAAACTGAGACATTTTTTTTTTTATTTTTTGTTAGTCTGCTCCTTACCTTCTCTCCCCCAGTGGCACAGCGGTATGTCTGCAGACTTACCACGCTAGAAACCGGTATTCGATACTCGTGGTGGGCAGAGCACAGATAGCCCATTGTGTAGCTTTGTGATTAACTTCAAACAAACAAATCCTTACTTTCTGGCATTTTCTTTGTGTTTGATAATTCGAGAGAGTTGAATTCTGTACTTTTAAATAAGAATTTTCTATGTGGATAAGGAAGAGATGGTCCTTTACTGATTTTATAGGAAATGGCCCTACTAGTACAAAGCAGTAAACATCAAATTATAAGTGGTTAAAAGCTCTCCATAGTGTCTGTACTTTTCTGTTTTATAAACTCAATAACTCCAAAAAAGTGAAATATCTATTATAGTTTCAAGTTGAATAAGCTTGCATAAACTGCTTCTGCCTTCTATCTAGTTTTGGAGACGACGATTTGGACTCTGGGCTGAGTTCTTTACCAGGTCTTTAAACGAAGAGTTGAGTATTGCTCTGATATGCAAAACATACTTGTGTTTTTACCTTTACATTTAAATAGTAGTCAAACTTAAATCCTCACTGATTATTAATCATTATTACACACAACGTAAAACTCGCATTTTCAATATATTTCATAAAAAATTTTAGGATGAGTTCCCATGTAATCTTACTGTACTCTATGTACCTTTTCTTATTCTAGTTGTGGAATTGTTTTTCAAAAATCCTTAGATTTCTAAATATTTTCACATACATTCACAATGTCAACAATTTCTTCCAATATGAATTGTTCTGTCATGAGGACAGAAGGATAAGAACACCGAGGCCTGGAATGACCTTGTTGTTCGGGCGCTGAACTCGCGATCTGAGTTCGTTCTCTATAGTTGCCGACCGGCCAACCGCCCGGGTGTACAAAAAAATATTGGGTTATAAAAATACTGGCCGATTCCAAACTAGTTGGGAGTAAGGTCGCAATAAAGAAAAAAGCCGAAAGTGAACAGAAATTCTAGCAATACGCGCATTTTATTTGAATTGTTTATATATGTTAATGCAATGGCCTGTCGCCACAAAAGCGAGCTATGGCACCAAAGACGATACGTTAAGCCCATATATATTTTGTTCATGAAGAATTTGGGTAATTCGATAGCATAATCCGTCACAAGTGGAGGTACATAAAATATTTTCAAAACAAGAAATATTAATACAGCGAGGTTTTTAAACGACATATAGGGAAAAGACATATCATTTCAAAGAAGGGAGCTTTTTATGTTATCTGTGGAAGCGGAAAAACTTGAACACAAAAAGCTTAAGACAGCAACTGGCTACAAAAACTACAAACCACCCCAATCCTAATCAACTGCAAAGTAGAAGCCATGGTTACAAAAGAAAATCCTCCAATCAAAATATTGTTATGCAATGGAATCTGAACATATTTTGGGTAAGTTAATAACATATAAAAAAAGGATTTGAAATTGAAGAAGGCACACAGGCTTCTGGCCACACCTCCACATCAATGGCTGTTTTCTTGAGAATGGCTAAAGAAACTGGAATCGCAGCAAACCCATTCGACCATTGTACTCTATAGGGTAACCTAGTACATGTTTATCTGATCTTCACAATAACTGGAGATCCATAGACCTAGTATGCAGGAGCAAAGGGTGTGTAACGGTTTGTTGCTGGTGTAATGAATAGGACAAGACTCGATGAGAACTTGAATGAAAACAAAAATTTTTTTGTTTTTTTTTACTGTAAGAGGAGGAAAGAAACTTGATGCGCACCTAGTGTTTGTATGAAAGCTTATGATTAAAATAAGTTATATTGAATTAAACGTAAGATACAAAATTGTACTTAATAGAATAAATAAGACAAGCTGTACTTAAAGATAAATTGCAAATCAAACACGCATCATCAGTAGGTGTTAAGGTAAACTGAAACGAGGACGAGACTTCAGTAGCAAGTTCTGGTTTCTTTAAACCTCAAAAACGAATCTGTTTGAAAACTGCGTTTATAAGTCACTTTGTGTTTCTAGCTGACCATTAAGAAAATAGGATTACAAGTTTCCATAAATATCTCAGCTCTCTTAGAAACAGCAGATAGAATTATTTATTAGATCCTGTTAGAGAGTAACACTTCTGGGCTGAATTAGCACGCACACAACTTCAACTACGTTTAGATTGTTTGTTTTGCTTGTTGTTAAGCGCAAACCTATACAATGGGCTATCTGTGCTGTGCCTACCACGGGTATCGAAACTCTATTTTTAGAGTTATAAGTCCTTAGATTTACCGTTAAGCCACTGGGGGTAATATGTTCGAAATTAAAGCTCTAGAAAAAATTAATATCTTCTTAAATATAAAATATTCACTGTTGGAGAGTTAGGTATGGATATGTGCATACCACACCCACACAAATACCTGTCGAGTTTCTTGATGCACTTCCAAAAGACTTTTATTCCTTTGTTTTCTTTATGCCTTGTCTTGGGATATGACGTCCATATTTAGAGGAGTATCTGTGGGAAGTTTGTCAAGACGTGTGTTCTAAGATTGACCTCGCTACACGTCGTAGAAGCTTGTTACAATGGAAGTATAGTGATGGACAATAATTCGTAATTATGGTCATAAACTTGAATAGATAATGAGGGAAGAATTAGTTAGAAGGAATCTAGAATGTCATTCTTATTAAGTATAATTAATCTCGGAAACTTTGCCAATATGGTTATTTACATCACATGTAGATA